TTAGATTCATCTTAATGTCTGTGGGAAATTATTAATAGTGAAGGATTTAAAGGGGAGAAATAGAATCAGTTTTGTGTTTTATAAATCTGTCAGCATTTTGAACCAAGGCATACGATTATTTTTAAAAATGAGACATATAAACATTTTTAAATAACATGGCCACATAAAGTTTTTTTCATAACTTATTATGTAATATTTATATTTATTCTGAAATAGGTGATGGCTCTATGTAACATTGCACGTGTTACCTGAGTAGGTTTAAGTGTGCTTGTACGTACATACACATATGCAAATCTTGCTAAAGTATGAATAAAATTCCAGTTATACTTAGGACATTACTATATATTATTTATGCATGCTCATCCATTCACTAGAAATTTTGACTTTGATCTTACCCAATTCTTTTGTAATATATCTTTACAATTTCAGATGCTATATGGCAGCTGAGGAAGGATTTGTTAGTTGAAAAGGCATTGTGCACCACAACATGAAATATAGTATACTAAGAATAAAATACCAGCAGGCAGATAAATGCATATCTATTTTTGGTTATTGCATACGTAGATAATAATAACATCAAAAATGTGGAAAATGCTTCCTTGTCTTTTAGACTTCAAATCCACCATGCTGAATGGATTTTTATAGGGCATATACTTGTTCATGACCTCTAGTGTTAAGAAATTCTGTCATGTTTGAAAACTAGTCCCTAGTGGAGCCTGTATCCCTGTTAATAGCTGAAAGGTCAATGGAGCTGCTAAACAGTTTGTATTACTGTCAGGGTGGCCATGAAAACACCACCTGCTGCAAGAGGACTTGGCAGCTGGGTCAACAGGCACTGTGGGAATTTATCAACTTAGGGGGGCCACTTGCATAAAACTTTGACTGATGAATTGGGACTAGACTGGCTTATTGGGCTAAAGCTGCTCTATTATGTATGACTTTCTTTAGGATGGCAGAGCTGCCTGCTGGCTCCCTGAGACATATGCGAAGGATAAACAGAACTGATTTCCCCTTATGAAGTGATTTTTTTTTTTTAAGCACTCTTTGGCATCCAGTGTAATAAGGAGTGGGATGGAAGATAGTAAGGAAAAAATAAACAAAAAGCAGTAAGCGGGGCCGTGGTGGGAGGAGACACGAAGGGCAGTTTTTGATATTGGTCACAGAGGAGTTTGGGGATACAACATTTCTGTGAAATGACCTCTGAAGCCTGGAATTTGCATTGTTAATTTATAGACCTCCTAAGGGAATGGTTCCTGTGACTTGGTTGGGTAGCCCATAAGCAATATGTTAAAATATAGTAAGCCTCAGTACATAGTAATTAAATCAACATGACTAAGAATAACTCTGTTTTACAAATTTCTAGAGCAATAAACCCTGGAACCATTTTGAAATCAAAAAAAGGTCATTTGGTTTAAGTTCATCTGAAGTGAAATTAAAACATTTTGTCAATAGTGTGAAAAAACTTGTGTTCCATGAAAATAAAGCTTGGAAGTTACATAACTCTGTCAGAATTTTTTAATTTCCACCCCCTCAGGAGCATTGGCTTAATTCTGGAAAGATTTAGTAAACAGCAAGTGTCCAAGGCATTATTTGGACATTTGAAAAACTAGGTATTAGCAGTTCTTTGAAGCTCCATGGACATCTTTATCCTAATTTTGGACTAAGAGAACCATAAAAGTTGAGAGATCAACTGAAAATAATCCTGAATTGTGAAGAATGAATACCAACAATACTAAATAATTTAATATGTTTAAAATATATTATTTAATTACCTTTGCAGCCCCCTGTGACAATGAGGCAGGGGCAGAATGATCATCTGTATTTTTTTGATAGGCAAAGTAGCACAGTAGGGTGAAGTAGCCTACACAGAGCCTCACATGAAGGAAGATTCAGAGACCAGACCGATTGACTCCCTGCCTGACCATCCGAAACTTAGCGTTGACTAGTTTTACATAAACTGGTAAGTGAAATTAAAATTATTGCTTGGATATTGTGCTTAGTGTATGTAAATCTGTTTTCCAGAACTGCTAGCTGAAGTAATCCTCCCTGTACCCCACCCCCCATGCTCCCCGCTGACCAAGGCATGCTGAACCCGGCACCAGAGAGTTTTGGGGACCTCATGAGTTGGCTGAGCCAGCTGGGTCACTGGTGTTGACGTGATCCTAATGCCACTCTGCCCTGAGATGTGACTGCTCCATCGCTGAAGATATTCCGGAGGTATGTTCAATATGTTAACATGGAGGCAAAATTCATTCCTTTTCTGCTGCTCTAGGGAAGTGTTTTGTTTTGTTTTTTTCCTAAATAACTCTTGAGTTCTAGGCATTTTCTTTCTTTTTTCATGATAAATAATGGTATTTTATATTTTTAACAGGTCATTTCACCATCCTTTTCTGAGAGGCTGCTTACTGTAAATGAATTGAAACTTACATAAATGATTATGCAGCTGACAGCCTTAGATCAAATTGTCCTTCTAGACTGATGTGGTAATGTTGGGACCTCATCTGCTTTTGCCAAAATGATTTAAGAGACATTGTATATGGTTTCTAAACTCCTTCATCTTGTGTGTGTGTGTGTGTGTGTGTGTGTGTGTGTGTGTGTGTGTGTGTGTAGGGAAAACAAAACAAAAAAACACATAAATCCTATGGTAAGAATGTAACTTCTATGACACATAGAATATTAAAAGTTTATGTTTTTATAATTTGATGTTTCTCCCTTCTAGGGCCATGAATCAATTGATATTTGAAAGTTATTCTGAAAACATTATTTTAGCAAGTCTGGGGGCTTCTCCACAAGAAAACAATTGAACTAAGAGTTTAATTTGTGTTAGATTTTTGATACAATAAAAAAGTCTACCTATTATTTTTTTAGTTGATAAGGTTCTTTCTTCAAATTCTGTCTCAAAAGTTTTGCTGTGACACCGACATCCTGAACACGACTATGCTAGTAATTAGCTCGTGTTTCCAAAATAATCCTGTTCACATACTTAAGTGTCTGCTTATATAGAACTTCAACTCATCTAGGGAGAAATACTATAATAATAAACGTTGACATCCAAATCGAAACAGCATGAGGCTCCCAACAAATGTTTATGAAAACATTTGTTTTATTATAGTCAGTTTAATTTTGAAATTTATGCCTATGCCTGTGTACAAGGACAGTGTCTTTGGGACTCCGTTACTTCCCCCACCTTCTGAAAAGCAAACACAAATCCTAACCCGGGCCCCCCACACGACATGACTCACCAGAAACAGGCATCATAATGAGAAGTCAGGCCTTCAGGTATGTCACTCTGAGACCACCCTACTCGAGGAGCCTAAGATCACAAAGCCAAGGTCCCTTATGGCAACCCTGGTAATTAGATGCTAATAATAGATTGGAGGTGTAAAATTCACCTCAACTCACTCACAGACTAAACAATCCAGATGAAGAGAGAACGATTTTTTGAGAAGAGAGAATTCATTACAATACTACTAAGGAAGCTTGCAAAAGTATATCCACTTTGACAACATAATGAAGTAACAATGACTACTTTTGAAACTAATTGTATTAGATCTGAGTGAAATCCCTACACCTCATTATGAATCATTAGAACGCTGCTGTTTTATGAATTAACATTAGTTTGATTTTTATTCTTAATGTTGCCAACTTCAACAATCACCAAAGTGTCTGATATATCTATTTTTTCATTTGTTTCTTTGCTTTACTCAAAGAGGACATTGATTTCACACTCAAGGAGGAAACAAAAAAAAAATTGCTACAGTGTATAGACGGCTGTTTCCCTTATTGTGAAAGAAAATGCATACCAGTTAATAGAAAAGGAATGCAATCAGCATGCTATATATGTGGTGTGATACTGTCCAGAGATCATTTAGAATTGATTATTCTTCTTTTTGTTGTGCAGTAGCCAACGTTAACCTATATTTCTCTTAGGAAAGAATGTGTTTTATGGTATAGGAAAGGGACAAGAATCTCCATTTTGTTAGTGGCTTTTTCAGGAAAATATACATAACTTACAACTTACAAATAATATCTTTTAAATGGAACTAAATCAATACCTCTAGTAACCCTTTCACATTGTTAGAATGTATTCTTTGGAAAGAGGCTTGAAATTCAAGAATTTAAATTTTGCAAATTGGCTCATGAAAATAGTTAATGTAGTGGGAATTTAAAATTTACAGCATGGTGTGGCTAACGAATAACTATTAGTAGTGTTCAATAATAGTCCTATGTGTGAGGATAGTTAGGTTTTATTACAGTTAGTTGTTTCTAAACTTATGACTAATGTCTGTCTGACAGCACTTAATTTCAGCAGCTTCTGATAGCTCAGGTTTTATCCATGAAATAAACAACCGGCTAATGACAATTCAAGATGATTGGAAAGTGTGTGCGTATAGACATTGTGATGGGCGGGTGGAAGGAAGCAGGGGGCGAGATAAACATACTCTTTGAAGGATTAAAACATAGAAATCTTCCTTTTTCGGAGGCAAGTCACAAAACGCTTCTTTAGTTTTCATTTGTTTAGTCACAGCAGTCTTCATGAGAGCTGTGAGCTTTCAGATAGATTTGAAATGAGGCTCAGATGTTGAACTGGCAAAATATCTTATCCTGATTACCCAACACAAATCATACGCAGCAGCTCTAATGTCTGCAAGGATGTTTCTCGTTTTCTCAACAATAAGGGGGTTTTATTGCTTCCAACACCGGAGCCTCTGCTATGCCTCACGTCCCAGGGTCCTCCTCTGGCTTTTAACTGAGGACTCTGATTCCATAAATATAATGCTGCTCTTTAATGACAAGGGGAATGACACGAATGAGCTTCTAAAGTTCTGCAGAGTCTAGTCCTCATAGATTGGGCTCAAGGGTCTTCTCAGGACGCCTGTAGCCTATAAAGGGATGAAAGAAGTCTTCATCTCGGCCGATGGCAAATTGTAACTTTTCTATCACTCATTTGAATGAATTTGAATATGAACATTACTTAAAGAAATTAAAAGAAATCTCACCTTTTGGGATCTATGATTTTGTAGAGTTTTCCATTGTGACTCTGAGTCATGCTTTTACTGCTTGATAAAATGTAAACTTCACCTGTTGAAGAGAGAAATAACAGTAAGTACATTCACGGAATTGTAAGGCCTTACTTCCTTATTGCCCATCAGATATTCCACTAATATGTCTATACTCTATCATCATTCATCCTCAGGAAAATCACTTGCCTGAGGATTATGAGCGAGTCCCACACGTCTGCGTTCACGGCACGTGCAGAATGCGTCCGGATCCTCATCACTTCCTTCCCCTTCCCACTACTGTTCTGGTACAGGCAGCTGCTCTCTCTCCCCTGGCCTCTGGCAACAGCCTTCTACCTGAGCTGCCCGGTTCTACTCTTGTTCTTCTTTGTTTATTCTTAATGTACCAGCCATGATTCTTTCCGGAGGAGTTAGATCATGTAAGTTGGTTCACACTCCTTTGTTTCAACACCCTCCAGTAGCTTCTCATCTCTCTCAGAGCAGAGTCCCGACAGCTGCCATGAGGTACCACCCCCTGCCAACCCATACTGCTCTAGCAGACCTCATCGGCAACATTTTGCCCCCTCACTCCCTTCTCTCTAGCCCCATGGCCCTTTGACTTGACGCACTTGAGGCAGCTTCCCATCTCAGGCTCCCATCTCAGGTTCCTGCTGTCTCAGGCTCTGTCCCAAGTCCTGTCTCAGGCTTCTGTCCTTTGTAGGTCTCCACTAGGTTCCCCTTTTCCCTTCTTCCAGTCTGTGCTTAGCTATCCCCTTTCCTGCCTGCCCTATTTAAAACCGCACACCCCCCAACTCCCAACAATCCCTCTTCACTACTGGATTGTTCTTCAAAGCACTTATTGCCCATTTACATACAATATTTTCTTTAAAAAAAAAACATTTATTTTTATTGTCCCCCTCCATTACAATATAAATTTTATGACATTAGTTTAGACTTTTTGTCTCTTTAGCTGCTACTATATCCCCAACTGCTAGAAAAGAGCTTTGCACAGAGTAGGTGCCCAATAAATATTTGTAGAAAGTATTCAATGGACAAGTTTTAACTTGATTTATTTCTATGCAGGAATGAAAAGCTTTAATTGATAATTATCAATTAACAGTAACATGGGATTGGGGTACTCCTTTTTAATTTTTAGCTTATTAAAAGATGTTAAAATATATCAAAATATATTAAATAAACATTGAGAGAAAAGACACAGAGACAGTGGAAGTGCAAGAGCATGGCTATTGCTCTATCTTAACTCCAACTCTGTAATTCATGGTGCTAGGCTGTGTTCATAATGATGAAATACAACAGATGGGCTACTCTTTTAGGAGAGAAGCACCATATTTATTATCACTTCTTCCATATAACTCAATGCATAGAATGGGTTACACGAATAGGAAATTAGTATTTATATTTATATATTTATAAGGTTTTAAAATTTATATTTGATGCTCACTCATGAAGTAGTCCTTGATTTAGTTCATATTTCCTGATTCCACTCTATTATTCCACTCATTATTGAACATTAAGCACACCCTACTGCTTTTCTACTTTTGAAAAGAATGTTATGAGGTTTATACTAAAAACACAGACACAATGGAAAGAATAAAAATGATGGTATAAAGCAAAGGAATGTAAGCAAAAGAATTAGTATTTATTTTGTCAAGTGCTTTATATGGTTTACCTCATCTAATTCTTACAACAGATCCATCCTGATTTTATAGTTAAAAAAACATACAACAAAAAATAACACCTGCACTCGAATGTTCATAGCAGCACAATTCATAATCGCAAGGCTGTGGAAACAGCCCAAGTGCCCATCAATTCAAGAATGGATTAATAAAATGTGGTATATGTATACCATGGAGTACTATTCAGCTCTAAGAAACAATGGTGATATAGCACATCTTATATTTTCCTGGTTAGAGCTGGAACCCATATTACTAAGTGAAGTATCCCAAGAATGGAAAAACAAGCACCATATATATTCTCCAGCAAACTGGTATTAACTGAGTAGCACCTAAGTGGACACATAGGTACTACAGTAATAGAGTATTGGGGGGGAGGGGGGGAGGGTATATACATACATAACGAGTGATAGGCGCACCACCTGAGGGATGGTCATGCTGGAGACTCAGGCTTGTGGGGGGAGAGGGGGAAGGGCATTTATTGAAACTTTAAAATCTGTACCCCCATAATATGCCAAAATAAAAAAAAAATAGACTCCCAAGACTTTTTATTTCGAAAGGTGCAACAACTTAACTCATTTTTAAATATGGTTCTTCAATTAAAGCTAAGGAGTTTCACATTAAAATGTAATTCTGTGAAAGTGTATTTATTTTAATTATAAGGTATATGCAGGGTTGTAGCTTGGGAGAGTCAAGATTACATATGCTTTATTTTTTGGTTGTGCTCCCAACATAGTATTAAGTGTACACAGGCATACAGGATATTTTACCCAATGGTGGTGATATTAATATGATGACTGATGAGGAATTATCTGTAGTAAGATCTGTGAAAATCAAAATGATTCAATCACAACATCATCTCTAATTCTGCCACAAATAATTCAGTTATTTTTAAAATCAGAGTTTGCCAATGAAATTAAAATTACATTACAGAAGATGTAAGTGAGAAAAGGTATCCTTCTGGTTCCTTTGAGTAGGGTAGGAGAATACCAACGAAAAAATTGTTTAAGGCTTTCAATGCTGAAACAAGAAAAGAACAGACTGGACTTCTGTTCTTTAAATTGTTACATTCCTGTGGCTCTGAAATGTTTTATATGTTTCAGGAATCTTGTCTGAGTCTCTTATTAATCTAAATGAATGGCAAGGAACTATTTCTGGTGAATTCTCCATTTGATGTATGAAAACCAAATCTGGACTTTTAGAGAAAATATTCTGAATTAGATGAGAAACATATATTCTCTATTTATGCCTAGAAATTCATCTCTGAAGCTAAAAGGAGGATAATAGACATGGTTTGTTTGAATATTATTCTTTAAATGGAGTCCTTATGAAAGCTACATTTATCCCCATAATTTAAAATTAGTAGAGAGTAAAATTTTTACTTGCTGATTGATCACATTCCAATTTCAACTTCTTTTTGCTTGTTAAGCTGCATACATTTTGATAAACATACCAAGAAACATGTCACCCCATAGATTTTCAATGAGACACTAATTCCTATTCTGTTAGAAAGATCTACAACTCAGATTATCTTGCACAAATTTCATCCCCCAATGGGCAAAAAAATAAAAAAATTAGAAAATAGAAGATAAAGTAAGTTTCATATTCCAAGAAGTTTCTTAATTTATTCCAAGAAACATGGGGAAATGGAAGGGATTTTAGATAAAGAATATAAACAAATTATTCAAATATATAATAAAAAAATATCAGTAAACATTGAAAAAATTCTCTTTGGGACTGAAAAATTCTCTCTTGTTCCTGCCTCCCATTTTTTATGCTTTATTATTCTAATATTTCTACTGTGGGACTAAGATATAAAGAGCTCTAGGGAAAGGTTACTGGAAAAGAATATGTAATTGGACCCTTTTAAATCTCTCCATTAGATCATCTTTGCTATAGATTACATTTCTAACAAATGGAGGATGGGATTGTTACATTTATTCTTCAGGGCAGAACAAAGCCTCTTGAGCAAGGAAGTGAGAATGGAACTTAACAGAAATAGTTTATACAATACCTAATTCATCTTCTCCAAATCCCAAGATGTGGCCGGAAAAGTAACCTCTACAGGAACCACTAGTGCCGAGACACAGCGGTTTTTCTTGCCATTGCTTGGTCACAGGACTTTGCTGGAGAGTTAAGAAATTCCTACAACAAAAACATACCATAAACCTACAGTGAAAACATGCTTTTGCTTAAAGACGACAGTAAAATATTTAAAATAAAATTCACAACAAATAACTGTTGTGCCATAGACCTTGATTCTAAAGGGAAAAATAATATAGCCCATAATGTGTGTGAGTACTGTGAAATTCTCATATGCAGAGAAAGTACTTAAAAGTAATATTTTGTTTGGAGGGGGCACCAAAAGTACCTGAGTATAAGAAAAGCCTTCCCCTCCATCCAGGAAATAATATCTCCTGTCCAGGACTAGACTCCATGTTGTGCTATTAATTAGAGAGAGGGATGGGGAAGAGGTTAGAATCAGTACACTTTTCTAGTTCTTTGGAGTGACCAGTCATATCAGTTCTGCCATATGCCTGAATGGCAGCAACTTGGGAAACAGATTCTTAATTTGGATTCCATCACAGAATTCCCCATAATTATCCACAATGGGATTTTGGAAATCTAGGCTAAAATTTAATTTTGTAGTACTCTTACCTATAGAGACAAATTATGTTCTGTTGCCCAAAGTACTAAAAATTTGGCAAAAAATATAAAAAATCTTTAGCCTTCCAAGATAATTTTTTTAAAAGTTTATACAACTCAGGTAAAAGGATAGTTTTAAAATTATTCTTTCATTGTCATGCTAAATTTATGTTAAGGATGAAGGGAAGAGCCTAAATAATATGAAAAGTCCATCGGAAGACTTCTCTGCCCACCCTTCCAAATTATTCTCACGAACTTGATCAAGCCTGTTAAAAAAAAGTATCTCTTTAAGAGTTATTCAATTAAACCACTCTATGTAGTGGAAATAAAAGTAAATAATAATATTTATGTGTGTCCCAGGTCTGGTGCCCAAAGGGGGACAATCATTTGATTATTTTGTAGCTGTTTGCCAATTGATCCATGGATATGTCATTTTGTATATAAAATTGTGGTATTACAAAACCTACCCATTACGATCTCCGAACACATAGCTTCCATACAGTCTTTCAGACTGGCAGCCTCGGTAAACAAATCCACCAACCAAAGGACCATTACTGAATGGCTTGAATTCTAAAAGTGATGGCTCACTTTCTGGAAAGAAATATAGCATTAGATCAAATGAAACATTTTCATAAAGTAAAAGTAATATAGGCCGAGCAACAATTATTATAGTAATTTAATTCTGAAATGTGCTCATGATGCATGAGATGTGGTCTTGCTATAGATATTTAGTGAAAATAATTAATCTTTGTTTAAATAGTACCAAAATTTAAAGGACTTCCATGGACAGCTTAATGAAATCAGAATGCTCTGCAAAATGCTTGCTGTTGCTATAACTGCCAAGTCATACCAAGTTTTCAATAAAATTAAAATTTGGGTATTTTGGAAATCATGGTTATTTTCTTTAGAACCAAAATACTTTTTTAAAACAACACCTAATTTTTTAAGTATTAAATTTTTTTGTAGAAATGCCTCTGCATATATTTAGTAAATTGGGACAGACCTCTGTCAAAATATATAAAATATTTAAAAGTCCACACTAATGAAAACAAAAGCATAGTACATAAAAGGTCTTTAAAACCACATTCATTATATATTTAAAAACACTGTAACTAAGTCAAATAGTCAAATAATATCTTCATTAAAAATATTTTAATAGTGTTGTTTATAGAGTTGTGTGGTCTATTCCAATAATTCCTTTTAAATTATGTGTATAGTTATGTCTCTCTATCGTTCTATGCATGCCATTATGTGCATATGTGTATATATATATATATATATGTATGTTCATTGCAATGGAAAACCTCTATAGCCAGTTATAAATTAATCTGAAAATAACCTTTTATATATTTAATGTTCAATCAGTCATTGTCAATAGGCAGTATTTTATGCAAAAGCTTCTGTGGAAAGACAGTAATAATTTTAAAGCCCTCTTCCACTTACATGTGATTATGGTGAATATGAAATTATTTAAAAAGTGGAAAAAATAAGAGAAGTTTTAAATAAGCAGCACACTGAGAGGCAGCATAATTGAATGATTAAGGTCACAAACTCTGGCATCAGTTGACTAGGGTTCAAATCCAGGCCCTGCAACTTAGGTTTTGTGATAATCAATCTCTCTGTGCCTCAGTTTTCTCATCTGTACAATGTGGCCAAAGACAGTGCCTATCACATAGAACTGTCCTGCAAATGCAATAAGTAAAATTTATAATGTACTTACTATGGGGACTAGGATGTATTAAGCACTGTTGATGTGTTTTTATATACATAAATATAGGGCTATTAACATTGTAACCAGTTTTAGCTGAACTTCAATTAATGTGATTGTAGAATTTAATCTACAGATACAGCTCAAATTTCATCCAGCTAGTGGAGTCATTAGATTTTTTTTCAAAGCACATTATTTTTTGGTTTGGCTTTTATAAGATGCACACACACACATAAATACCTGGGAAAAAAAGCAAAATAACTAAATACCACATGAACTAACACAGCTGTTTTATTCCTCGTGTTAAACAAATATCTGTATTGAATGAGCAAATAGAAGAAGCAATCAATTTAATAATCTTAATGTACCATGTTTCCTGAATCATAATAATATTTGATATATTGCTTCCTTCAAAAGGAATAAATACTAAAATATTGAAAAATACCAAGTGTTTTAAACTTTTATTATTATATAACTTTATATTTTTATAGTCTCTCTAAATATTCTAGTAATCATGTTATTAAAAATACTGTTTAAATGTCCCATTCCCATGACTTGTTTTTATAAGTTGATTACTTTGTTTTCTCCAAAATAAACACTTTTAAAAAATTATATTCTTATTTGAAACACTTATAATTTTCCTAATTGCTGAGACTAGAAGGTTGGGTATTGACAAGTGTCTTACCTTTAACATTTATTTTTTTCTCTGTATTTAAGATGTTAGGACAAGTTCTTCCTTATTATATTAAAAATAGAAGTTATTCATCTTGATTCTCTGATGAGCAAAGTATAAGCTGAGGTTAACTTTTGAAGGCCCATTAAATTTTCTGTACCTACCCGAGAACCATTCTACCCATGGTAGTTAATCAGATTGAATCTTTAGAGCCTGTAAGAGTCCCTGGACCTTTAAAAAGTGAGCAATTTAGTCCCTCATCACTGGTAGGCCAGTGTTTTTATGCTCTCCCAAATGCTCATTTTTTTTCAGAAATCCTTTTCAATTACTAACAGAAAACCCAAACTAAAGCAAAATCAGCAAATTATGTCCTACATACCATAATCTTTTCCCTTTATTATCTGTAGGATTCTGGCTGACGATCTGTTTTTTCCATTGGAGTCTGAACAAAGTATCGTTAAATTGATGTTTATATCCGTGGGGTGTCGATCCACAGCACATCTGCATAACAAAAGGGGGGACGCATATTAATTCCTACCGGGGTATCTTCCAGGCTCAGATGGGTGATTCCTGACATGGGGAGAGAAACCCTTTGTGGGCTGGAGAGGATCCTATGGGCAATTTACTTTGGGTTTTCTAGAAACTGCTGAATGAAACAGTCCCACGTGTTTCTTTACTTTGTTGAATCTTAATGATCTCTGGTGTGTATTTCTTAATTTCTCTTGGTATCTCTTTTTATTATGAATGTGAACACTGTCTTAAAACGTTTGTTAGTCTGTTGTTGAGAAAATTACATGCATAATACATTGGTAAGGTATTATGAGTAAGAATCAGGATCACCATCAATTCATTTGTGCCACATGGTATAATATTAGCTATATTATTAGTTTGTGTTTCTTACACGAGATTGCTACATTCTATAGCTTAGGTTGCTTTAACAAAGCGAAATATGTATTCCGATTCAGGGGATTTAGCAAAGCTGGTCCCCACAGACATCAGGGTCTTGTACGTTGACTCTGTCTTTATGTTCTCCACCCCTAATCTGGGGGCTACAGTATCTCTGTGACTTAAGCCGCTGTCTGTAAACTCCATGAAGGCAGATACCACTTCCAACTTCGTCACTGTCTTTCTGTCATCTGGCTCAAAGCCAGGAATATAAGAAAGGCTTGATATTGGTTGAGCATTTACATTATTGAGGGACTGGGCATTGGGAGTTTGGGCTGGGGTAAGAATGAAGTTAAATATTACAGTTTTTGAAGTTCTCAAAAATGTGGAAAACAGGCTTGCCTTGGCTTTAGGTTTCTCAACCTTGGCACTATTGGCATTTTGGGCCAGATAATTCTTTGCTTTGGTGGTGGGGGCGGAGAGGATGCTCTTTGAATCATAAAACATTTAGCAGCATCTCTGGCCTCTACAGACTAAACCTGCCATCCCCAACCTCTGGGCTGTGGACTGGTACGTGTCCATGGCTTGTTAGGAGCCAGGCCGAACAGCAGGAGGTGAGCGAGTGAAGCTTCATCTGTATTTACAGCCGCTCCCCATCTCTCGCATCACCGCCTGAGCTCCGCCTCCTGTCAGATCAGCAGGGCATTAGATTGTCACAGGGACGTGAACCCTACTGTAAACTGCATATGGGAGGGATCTAGGTTGTGTACTTCTTATGACAATCTACTGCCTGATGATCTGAGGTGGAGCTGAGGTGGTGATGCTAGCACTGGGGAGAGGCTGCAAATACAGATAATCATTAGCAGAGAGGTTTGACTGCACAGTAAATGCAATGTGCTTGAATCATCCCCAAACCATTCCCCCCATCCCCCAGTCCGTGGAAAAATTGTCTTCCGTGAAACTGGTCCCTGGTGCCAAAAAGGTTGGGGACCGCTGCACTAAATGACAGTAGCACTATCCCCCACAACCCCACTCCCCGACTGCCCCTGTTGTGGAACCCAAAATGTTTCCAGACATTGCCAAATATCCACTGGGGGGCAAAATCACCCCATTGAGAATCACTCTTCCAGGCCAACAAAATACATTAATTACTTAAAAGCAAAATCAAATCATTGGGGCTATTAAATACATTTAAAAAATAAAAACACTTGAGAGTATGGGTCTCTTGGGTCTTATGAGACATGAGAGTCATGTAGCAATTATTACAAAACAAAACACAAAGCAAAAACTGTTGGCCTCAAGTGATTCCATTCATGATAGGGGAACTATAAGCCTGACCTGCCAAAGATGGGTTAGTTGTTCTGTGGCAACAGTCCCTTCATTGTCCTCTTGGGTTCAATGATTCACAGAGTACAATGCCTGGCGGGGATCATGACAGACACCCGCTGTGACTTAAGGTGGAACTAAATCCATAGGGGGCAGAAAACTTTCCTGTAATTATCTTGCTTTTGAAGACGGAGAAACTATGACAAAAAGAGGTTTGACTCGTTTCCAACAAGAAACAGCAAATCTGGAAAAAATGCCAGGTCTCCCAGAGGTGGAGTAGCTGGGGGCTGTGAGCGCTGGCTGAAGACCAGGTCCACTGAGAACTGCTCAACGTTGCTCACCTTCAGTCTCTCATGTGAAAATGGGCCAGACAGTGAAACTATCTGTACGACACCATGATGCTGGACACATGTCATTATCCAGTTGTCTAGATCCACAGTATATACCACACTATGGACTATGGGTGGTTATGGCATGTCAATGTCGGTTCATCCGTTGTAACAAATGTCCCCGCTGTGGGGGATGACGACAATGGGAGAGGCCATGCATGTGTGGAGGTAGGAGTTATATCAAAAATGTCCTCAGTTTTGCTGTGACTCTACAACTGCTCTAAAAAATAGTTTACTTTAAAAGGGGGGTGGGTGGGCAGGAGGAAGGGTGCTGATGCTGAGTACTGCTGAGAGGCATCAAAGAGATAATATACACAAGATACTTAGTTCAGCACCCAGCGGCAAAGAGCTTAATAAAAGTTAGCTTTTATTTTAGCCAACAATTAATATAGTTTCCTTTCTGCTTTATTAACTCTTATGCTTAAAATGCCCTTGGAGGGAGGTGGAATATAAACACCAACTTTTCCTACAGCCTTCTGCCCCCAGAGGAGGCCAGACCCTGCAGCACAGGCATCTTGCCACACGCATGGTCTGCAAAGCGCCTCATCCCGTGTTTCTGCACCGAGGTTCGGGACCCCCAGGAAAGTTTCGAGAAAGCTCCTATGGGATTGTGGCGATTCAGGCTGCCTGACTTCAAAGTGCTGCTTTGTGGTGGTATCTGTGAGTTTTGAGCTATAGGAATGGAATGTGACAGTTTCCTCCACATCCTGAACCCACCTTAAGTATTCCCTGTCGCACAGATTTTAAGATCTGCTGAGATGCCAAAAAGGAAATGAACTGTAGACTGGGGCTTTGATGGAGGGGAGATGAAGGGCATGAGGAATTATAAAAATAAAAAGTTTGAGAAATATTCACCTTGCACATAGTGAACACTCAATAAACATTAAATAGCAATAACTTAGCTAGTAAATGAATGAATGTGGCCAGATATTCCTTAGTATGAACAATAGACCATAGATTGAAATTGCTATATTATACTTCATAGCATTTTTTAAAGTGTACCCCAAATTTCTCACCCTACATACTTCTTCATTTTCCTTTCTTTTGGTTCATTATAGTATAGCAAGCAGGCAATATAAGTTCTTTTAGCGTTTGTAATTTTTTTCAAGTGGAAAAAAAGGTTAACATTTAGCTCAACTCCTTCCAAATTAACATGGCATCATCTTACATTAAATAGAACTATATAATAAGAACTGTAATTTGTTTAAAACCTACCTGAGGCCAGATACAATATTTTGTGCTTTACTTATAGATTTTTATTTAATTATTGCAGCATCTTTGCAAGCTAGTTATTATCACTCCCACTTAATATGTAAGGAACATAACATTTGGAGGGATTTAAAGAGACAAATCAAAAAGTTTATCACTCTAGATTGTTCAGATTGAAGTCTTAGTTATTGCACTAGTCCAACATTATTTATTGGATAATAACCCCTGCAAATTTTAAAGTGAATTTTTCTCTTGTCCTTTTCCTTGTCTAATCTGCCTTCTCAATCTGGTTCTCACTTTACTAGAAGAGAGAGTGCTAAATACTCCCCTGGATAACGACCTGATACGATTTTAGAGGCAAAACCTTGGATACCACCTTTGGCTGCTCTATGCCTGGACATCCTCTTTCTCTTTCCAACTCCCCAATCCCCACCTGGCTTTAGAGCAGGTGAGAAGACAGACTTGTGTTCTTACCTGCCTGGATCGTGGAGTCCATGAGCAAACACTTCGGGGGGCTGGTTGGTACTGTTGAAGTGTGGGTTGCTCCTTGGGATGGAATAAGGCACGTTACACATGTCTGTGTCCACATCCAGCCGTAGGACTGAGCCTGTGAAATCACTGAGAAATTGGAGGACTTCATAAGCTCTTTCCATTTTGGTTATGTAGTTCACCTAAACTAAATGTGGCGAGGGTGCTCTACGGATAAAAGAATCACTCCTTTATTTGAAACAAAATTATTAAAGTTCCAAACGACATATGGTGGGAAATGAAACCTAGGGGCAGTTTAGTTCTAGATGAGTGACCGAACCAAGACACAGCCTGATGGTGGCCAAGGACGGCAGCATCCGTAGTGCACTGCTTTTTTTGCATTTGTCCTCTTTACTTTTTGGCAGTCTATGTATTTTACGTCCCCCAAAAAGCTCTGCTGGCCCATTTTGCAGCGTTAAGAGGCACCATCAAGCACGAGGGGCCGCTGCCTCTCAGTGCCATGTGTAACGGAGGTGGCCCCCGAGCACGGAGCTACACAACAGTAACTCGTTTATTACATAATGAAATATTACATCAGCATATTACCGAATTCCTCTTCATTTCATAAATGCAGACATTGACCACGAAAGTTAAATATTTAATCAATTCAAAGGTGGTTGTTAACTCGCTGGCTCGGGTCTTTCCTTCTGGCACTGAAAGCATTTTAACCTTGGGGGAACCTATTTACTGTTAGTCTTTTACCTTAAGCCATCCATTTCTTCCATATCGTCCAGGGTGATCATCCCATCGCCGAGAATGATGTACAAAAAGCCGTCAGGGCCGAAGAGCAGTTGTCCTCCCAGATGCTTTCTGTGGAGTTCTGCAACTTCCAGAAATACTCTGGCTGTTCTCAAGTCAACTTGGTGGGGGTTTTTCCTACAATGTGGGGAGAAAACAATACCATGGTTATTAAAGATATAAGGTGAATCCATGGGAAAGTAAATAGCATACAAACAGGAATGCAAACAGCTGGCAGGAAAACAAGGAAACATATAGTCAAAAGGAAGCTAATAAAAATTACTAAAAAATGACATTATTTTCTAAGTTTCAGGAGTAGTATTTAAATTGAAAGATAATTGGGGAAAAGTGCCAAAACCATCATTTTTTTCCCTCAATTTTTCTTAAAGACACATACAGGGCTTTAAAGCAAGGTGGAGATTATGATTTAATTATTGCCATTTTATGGCTAATCATTCATAACTTCTAAATAAAACACGGAGAGATGGTGAGAGAATTAGATTTAAAAGTTTTTATGCTTTGATGCATTTTAGTGATACCTGGATACTGTGTATTCCACAACCCTAAGAATGTGGTCATGAGGCCCGATAGCCCACCGTTCTTGGTTGGTGGTATAAGACACATACAGCTTTCCATTTTTCTTGTAATTGGGATGGAATGCAAGGCTTAGCAGTCCTCTTTCATCTCCTCCCTGCAATCAAATGAAAAACACAAAGAATTGTGAAGTTAATTATGTTCTTTATTGTGTTTCAACTGGAACCCCAAAAGAGTCTCTTTCTTTCTTTTGGATAATCTTTGCCCAACCTCTTTTCTTTTCTCCCTTGCCTATTGCACAAAAAAGGATTATAAAACATTTCACTTTGTGGAACTCTTTAAGGGTTAGAACAAGACAATTGTCTAGTGTGGTTATCTATGCACAAGAGTCTTATACCACTTTTGTCAAGTGATTTGTGTATGTAATCTTGGGACGCGAGGAAGACAAGTTTAAGTGCTGTGAAGAATTCTTTCCTGGGTTACTAGGTTCCTTGTAGTTCATAGAAGACAAATAAAAAGGTTCATAATCAACAGCCACTTCTAATCCAAGTCTCCAAAACCTAAAACACAGTGTGGGCTGCCAACTCCCACTGTCTTGGCAATATGTTTAGAAAACAGTTAAATTGCTTGTGTAATATGTAAACCTTTGCTTTACCCTGGAGGCATCTACATCAGTTGTCACAACGGTGGTGGTCTGTTCATCATAGCGAGGTAATAGGCCTCCTCAGCCCATCTATATAGAAATGAGGCATTTTTATTCGGAGCCCTTCGCTGCACAAAGTTTTTCCCTACAGAAGGGTGAAGAAGTGGGAGGAGGGCTAAAGGCCAAGGCTGAGGTAGGGGTGGGAGAAATACTAGAGAGGAAAGGGGACACTAGGAAATAAAAAGAAAAATCCCAAACAACTTTCTTTTGTTATTATATGAATGTCAAGGATTGTATACGTTAGGCATGCCAAATGCTATAACAATTAAAACATCATCATGTTCTTAAATAGAAAGGCATTTTATCTTTATTCTCTGTTAATTCTGATTGTTGAAATTCAATAGGGTCTTAGCTTTTGTTTTATCCCACAGCTAGTCTAGGAATTTCTACAATGAAATCAAAGTATCTAAAATTATCTAGATCTGAGCCTTAAAGTTCATATACTAGCAAGCCAGGGAACACTTTCTCTGCAGTCTGATGTGTTGCCCACAGTGGTGAAAAACATGACATAGAAATTGAATGCTAAAATGCCCATAGTTCATTGCCTTATTTATTCCATTAAACATCACAACATCTCCTATGTAAAAAAGCATGCGACGTTATTCCTTCTGAGTGTCAGAGGACAAAAATGTCTTTAATACTGCAACTTCTTCACAAGGTCACGCTCAGCCAATGGAAACACTCTCATGATTTTGTCCCACAGAACAGCATGTGTTACTAGCAAAGTATAGAACTGTCTGTAGTTCTTATTCTACATAGATTTCAGCATTTAAAGTTTTCGGCATAAAAGTTCCCTTTTAATGAAAATTATTTGATTTGTTTCCTGCCCTAGAGAAAACTGTTTTTTAGATTATACACCATCCAAAGTAGAAACCTCCAAACTTTGAGAGTGTATAAATAATAAAGTGGTTGCAAATATCCCAGAACTGCCAAATCATTACTCAAATGTCAAAAAAGTTAACCTTTCTGCACATCGTAATATATATAATTTTAATTGTAATCATAAGGGGAAAACTATAATGACTGATTGGTGAATGAGTCTCTGTTTTTCAGATTCCCTTGTTATGATGATTTTAATGTTGACTTGATGTTGCTGTTTTTCTTCTTGTATCTTTGTTAAATAAAAATCTCTTGGCTTTCTTATGAGGCATTGGAAGCCGGGATGTGTAACTAAGATTCGATTGTAGAGAAGCCACTGCACATTTAAACCTCCTTGACGGATTGTATAAGGAGGCCCAGGGGTGGGATTTAGTTTGTGATTAATTCCTCTCTCCAATATATTTCCCTCTAAAGCTGTGAGTGCAGGTTAAGTACTGCATGGCCGCTTCACAAATGTTTGTGTTTCACTATAAGAAGCTTTTGTTGAAAGTAGTTCTTTGTAGTTTTTAATCAAATCATCAGAAATACAATTTGAATTGGATAGCAACATGGTTTAAAACTGTGTTGGTTGCTTTTCGGGAATTAGGAATGTAGAATTAATGCATTGTAGAAAGACAGATGGGAAAAGAGATTTAAACAAATCCACAAGGGATAGAAGATAATTGTTCACTTTAGAGAACACCAGCACATGAATGACATCAGAGGCTTCGTTGACATTTACCAAAGTGCCAAATATGGAAACAGAATGAGATGTGAATGACTGAGAAATAAATCAAAAAAGCTGTTTAAAAAATGTCAGTTATTCTGATTTTTCAGGTTATAGGATTTACATTTAATTAATCACTACACATGATCTCACTTTTTTTTAAGTCAATTTCCAGGTGTAAAGTAGTATTCTGGTTGCTTTAGAAACTTGACTACTCTTGAGTCATTTCAGAGAAATATTCACTTTCATCATGACATGGATGAAGAAATTTAATATATTATGTAAATATCCTAGATTATCTCTCAAATCCAGCTTTTAAAATTGTATAACAGGACTCCTAAATGTTCAGAGATTAGGAAAGACAGATATACTCCTGGTGTGCCAGAAGATAAAATTATCGATAGGCTCACATTTCACATAAATCAGCCTTTTGAGTTATGTTGTCTATTTAATTAAAATATGTTAACTGACAAATCATGAGTTAACTTTCAAGTGCAAACCTATCTTTGAGGTCTGGGTCATTCCTTTTTCAAGGTCTATATGGAGAAATGTGTTGATTGGGCACTGAAAGGTTAACTTTGGACCAAGGTCAGTTAGAGCCACACTGTCAGAGACAGCACCACTAGCCTTAAGGCCCCCGGACCCTCCAAGGGCTTTAACCATAGTCTTCACCGGGACATTGTCCCAGCCAGAGAGCCTGAACATTGGTGCAGGGAGCCAGAACTGGCCAGCAGACCAGACCTCCCAGGCTCCTGATCTTCCTTTCTATTATCTTAGTCCCTTTTATACCAGCTCTGACAGTCTCTTGGTCTGAGCCCCAATACCAAAAGCTCCCTTCTCTTCACTGCTTCAAAAGCTGATAACCCAGGTTTACAGGCTCAGCAGAAAGAATCAATAAAGCCCTTGTGCCAATGCAACTACCTCTTCTCCTTCTTACTCCTTCCCACTCTTTCCCCTCGTTATGGGTGGCTCGATGGCTCAGAGGAGATGGAATGAAAAGCAGGCGCTCCTTCCAGAAATGTCAATTATTGAACGGAGTCTAGGGAGCATCTGGGGAGAATGAGTCTCTAGCGATTAGTTGAGCCAAGCTGGCTTAAAAAAAAAGGGGGGGGGGAGAAAAACACAGTAACAGAATGGCAAATGGAAGATTCATGGTTCCAGGGAGACGTGGCTTTCAAAAAGACACTGATTTCTAACATTATACTTTTGAAAACTGTTAGCCATTAATCAAAATTTTTATCCTCACCTTTGTGAAAAGCAGTGGTTTGGCCAAATATTCACGTTATACTTTTTATTTCATTATTAATACGAAACACTTTGTATGTATCATGTGCTTCTGGGAATGGCATTGCTAGAACAAAACTGAAGGCCAAATGGTCAACAAGTAATTTACAAACAAGACTTATAAGACTTCAGGGTTTCCTCTGTTTGAGTAAGCTTTTTTTTTTAACTGGGTGGAACCTCACCCAAGCATCGCAGGCTACCATGAGAACCACACTTGTCCTTTGCCTAGCTCTCCCCATACGACACCAACTATGGACAGCCCCACACCAAGCACAAATGACTGCTCAAATTGAACAATTGGAAAACAATGTCACTATACACTGTAGACTCTTGAGATTGACCCTTCTTTCAGAGTGAATCAAATAACCCTCCTCAAGCACTTTTAATAAGTATTTAACTCTGTGCCATTCTGGTTGTCACTCAGTCCTTAGGAGCAATTTCACAGGGGCCACAGAAAACAGACAAAACCCCAAAATGAAGAGTAGAGATGACTTTAATGTAAGTACAAGGTCAGAACTAGTCCTGTAACTTTGGGATAAATTCTTCCCTGGTGAGCAGATCAGAGCTCTGACCAATTCACTAAGAATATTTCTCTTCTTTGAATAAAAAAGTATCCATTTGAAAAAGCTAATCATAAAGTGATGATAACAGAAAGTATATATTTTTTCTTTTTTAAGAGAAATTGTGGTGCACAGTCTTTCATAGTGATATTATTTTGAAGACAACATATTCTTCACACTTTCAAAGTGGTTAAAATTAATTTTTTCTGATTTCTGTTTTTGTTTTAAATTTGCCTTAATCTCCTTCAGGGAATGCTGACTTGTATATTTTAGGAAACAGGACTGAGGAGACTGAACTGGAAGCATTATTATTCATTTTTGCATCGTTTTTCACAGTGATCTTTTGGTAAGTGGCTGACTTCAAGTTTAGTAGTTCACAACACACGGCCCTATGGGATTAAGAAAGCAGTGAAACGTATTAAAGTAAATAATGTGATACTTGGTCAGAGATATTATTTGTTGCTGCCTTAGCAAAATTTTTTTTATTTAACATTTTATTTAACAAATATTTATTAAGGTACCTATTATATGTTAGGCACTACACTTGACATTAGGGATAAGAATAAATCCCTGCCCTCAAGGAGTTTATATATGGAAACAGACAACAAGTATAGTTTTTAGTTGTTTAGTTCCTACCCTACTTCTTCATGGTGTGGAATTTTAGAGAGGTTGAACAATGCTACACTATTAGAAGTGTGCATGGCCAAGGAACAAGTGTTAAAGAGAGTAAAACCATATTCTTGGTAACTTTGGACACAAAGGTTAATTCATATATTAGCCCTTGAGGTTTCTCTACTCTTAAACTTGGTTAAGGAAAAGAAAAAAAAAGCTTGGTTACACGAAACCTAAATTACATGAAGAATTAGGTAGAGTTTCTACAAATTGTAAGACCGTCTTGTACTTTATTTTATGTATATGACACAGGCACACAGGTATGAATGAAGAATTCTAGTAAAATTGTTGGTCTCTTAATACTGAAGGAATTTCTAAGAATTAAGCTAAGAACACAGTGGTGGTATTTTTAA